ACAATATACAAACTTACCGATCTTGGTGCGCATTAGTTTCATCTCAATTTTCTTTTTTTTTTCTAGCTTTCTATTTTGTGGTGTATGCATATATTATATGTACCCAGAGCTACTGGAACCCACACAAAAAAAGTCCTTGTGTTTTTGATTACACTTGACAAATAAAGATCATTCTGAATCGCCAGAGATGGTGGATATCATGAATGTTCATAATTGTAGGATTTAGTTGATATAATGCTTATTTGGCTGCACACATTTATGGCATGTTATTCCTAGCAAATCAACCATAAAAAGTGCTCTGGAATAGATAAAATGGGTGGCTCTTAAAAGAGCCTTTGTGTTCCAGAAACAGACTAGAACGCGTCTACTTGGCTTTGGCGGGCTTCTCGCTCTTCTTGGGCAGCAGCACGGCCTGGATGTTGGGCAGCACGCCGCCCTGAGCGATGGTCACTCGGCCCAGGAGTTTGTTCAGCTCCTCATCATTGCGCACCGCCAGCTGCAGGTGACGGGGGATGATGCGGGTCTTCTTGTTGTCTCTGGCGGCGTTTCCAGCCAGCTCCAGGATCTCAGCGGTCAGGTACTCGAGCACAGCCGCCAGATAGACGGGAGCTCCGGCACCGACGCGCTGAGCGTAGTTACCTTTGCGGAGATGTCTGTGAACACGACCGACGGGGAACTGCAGCCCTGCTCTGGAGGAGCGACTCTTGGCCTTCGCTCTCGCCTTGCCGCCGGTTTTGCCTCTTCCACTCATTCTCGGTTGTATAAATTCTTACGTTAATATCGCAGAAATAAATCCGTGAGTCCCGCTCTACTGTATTTAAAGGAGCGTACCAGTCGCCCATTGGTTTAGAGTCTGTAAGATTTCAAACCAATCACTGAACTTCCCTCCAACACTGACCGCTAAAGCCACGCCCACTTTATGACTGCTTCAGTTAGACACAGATATTCATAACTTCAAAGGCAGAAGCGATATAAGAATTTTTTTTAAATATTTGCGATATAAAATTCAGTCGCCAGACCTTAAATATACTGATGTGAGGACAGAAAAATAAAAATAAATAAAAAGCAACATTTTGCTCATTTGAAAGATGTGTGTTAGGACCGAGGTGCACATGTAATACTGTCGCTGGACACTCAAGCGCTATATTAATACTTGTTCTTCAGGAATGCTCTTACACATAAGAAGCAAAAATAGAGGTTTGTAATAAATAAAGCGCAGGTATAAACTTGAGTTGCGCAGATTTTGAATCAAAGCAATGTCAATGCAATTTGGGAACTACATCAATCAAATCTATGTGTGTGAAAATATTCAGATGTAATCTCCTTTGTAATCGTTAACATTTTCATAAGTAACTTTTTTTCTCAGTAACTGTAACAGATTACGGTTAAATGTATTTAGTAAGTAAATTACATAATTCTGTTACATGTAACTAGTTACTCCCCAACACTGGATATGATTAATTTTGGACATTGAACATTGTCTAAAAAAAAATACAAATAAAAAACCTAATATTTGCCATTAATATCTGTAATGCAATGCTATACAGTCGTTGCCCACATTCTTGTGTCATTCAGTCAGAAGACACTCATTCATCAAATAAAAAAAAACATAAACATAAGAAAATGTTTCCCTACATGCGGTGTCTTACTTTAAATGATGAGCAGTCTTGTTTGGAGTGAATTTATTAGTATTTATTTGGATATGGAAGTGTAACAACAATTAAAGTGTTTTGTGTTTCTGTACAGCAGCGCTCACCTTTGTTCTTTAATTAGGTTATGAAGTACTATCTTCATTGCATGCCTATATATTATTCCAGTTATTGACAGTTCAATAATACTGGTGCTGGCCCACCTGAAGGACATCACTGGACCCTTGCTGGATCCTCTTCAGTTTGCCTACAGAGCAAACAGGTCTGTGGACGATGCAGTAAACATGGGACTGCATTACATCCTGCAACATCTAGACAGACCAGAGACTTATGTGAGGATCCTGTTCGTGGACTTCAGCTCGGCCTTTAACACCATCATCCCAAACCTCCTCCTGCCCAAACTAACTCAGCTCTCCGTGCCCACCTCCGTCTGTCAGTGGATCAACAGCTTCCTGACAGACAGGCAGCAGCTAGTGAGGCTGGGAAAATACACATCCAGCACCCGTACGATCAGCACTGGAGCTCCTCAGGGTTGTGTTCTCTCTCCACTGCTCTTCTCCCTGTACACCAATGACTGCACCTCTAAAGACCCCTCTGTCAAGCTCCTGAAGTTTGCAGACGACACCACACTCATCGGCCTCATTCAGGACGGTGACGAGTCTGCTTACAGACAGGAGGTCGAGCAGCTGGCTGTCTGGTGCAGTCTCAACAACCTGGCGCTCAACACGCTAAAAACTGTGGAGATGACCGTGGACTTCAGGAGAAACCCCTCTGCACTCCCCCCACTCACCATCATGGACAGCACTGTGACTGCAGTGGAGTCATTCAGGTTCCTGGGCACCACAATCTCTCAGGACCTGAAGTGGGACACTCACATTGACTCCATTGTGAAAAAGGCCCAGCAGAGGTTGTACTTCCTTTGCCAGCTGAGGAAGTTCAACCTGCCACAGGAGCTGCTGAAACAGTTCTACTCCGCCATTATTGAATCTGTCCTCTGCACTTCAATAACTGTCTGGTTCAGCTCAGCTACCAAATCTGACCTCAGAAGACTACAGAGGGTAGTCCGGACTGCTGAGCGAATCATTGGTACAACCCTCCCTTCTCTCCAAGAACTGTACTCGTCCAGAGTGAGCAAAAGGGCTGGCAGAATCACTCTGGATCCCTCACATCCAGCACACTCCCTCTTTGAACTGTTGCCATCTGGTCGACGCTACAGAGCTCTGAGCACCAGAACGACCAGACACAGGAACAGTTTCTTCCCTCAGGCCATCCATCTCATGAACTCATGAACACTTAACAATAACTGTGGAACACACACTATTTATTCACTCATACACTTATTTATCTAACACACACACTCAGCTTACACCTCAAATTTGCACATAATATACAGTACCTGTACAAAAAAAACCTGTCTATTGTAATATACCTGCACACACAATTGTCAATTTATATATTTTTATTCCTTATTTGCTTGTTCTATTTTAATTTTTATTATCTGTGTTTTTGTTCTGTCACTGTCGTTCTGTTACACTGTGGAAGCTTCTGTCACGAAAACAAATTCCTCGTATGTGTAAACATACCTGGCAATAAAGCTCATTCTGATACATCTGTGTATTTCTGGACGAACTAAAGGCACCTGAAGGCCACACATACTGTATATATGACAGGTAAAATACTTCATTAAGAGTTAAATATTTCAATTGTGATGGTTTTGTACATGATTTTAAAGTTAATTTCTGTCTGATCAAACTAGAGAAATCACAGTGAACCACAGCTCTTCTCCAGATATCAGAGTCTTTCTTTCATTTTTTTCCCTTTATGCTGTTCTTCAAAACTGTGACACATACACCAGTTTGATCTGTAGCTTGACAGAATGTCATAAAACTTTAATATTTAATTCTAGCATAGTGCAAACACTGAAGGTTGCAAGACTCAGAATGGGACAGTGAGCTTTGACATGCCTCAAGTTTTTGTTTGCTTTTAATCTTAAGATTATTTTATTTCTAACAACACCTTTAATACTTCTCAGTATGTGTTTTATACAGTTTAGGAAGAAGGCTTAAATGTGCTTTAAATCAGGTTTAAAATGTTTTTTTGAATACACTGAGGACGCGTTCAGTGTGTTATTGGCTTTTGCGGTGCTTGATGCTCGCCTTAGATTTGATCTGAAGGTGGATTAAATAAACATTTCTCCTTTGTGTATTTTAATCTCAAAACGCCAAGAGCCTCTGTTTGGTATTGACCTTGTCCTTTACAGCGTCGAACTATTTTACCATTTCAGTTTTGCACTAAATGTAGGAGAAGAAAACACAAGCGTGAGGGACTCGCGTAAACACCGAGCGGGAAGGTTGAGTCTATAAGGTTCTCATGTGTTGTTTAAGAGCGCTGCGCTGCTCGAGCGACTCTCACTCAGTGTTGAAGCAGCACTCGAAAGATTGCAGAGATGGCAGAAACCGCCCCAGCTGCTGCCGCCCCGCCGGCCAAAGCACCCAAGAAGAAGTCTGCAGCTAAAGCCAAGAAAGCAGCTGGTCCAGGTGTCGGTGATCTGATCGTTAAAGCCGTGTCTGCGTCCAAGGAGAGGAGCGGCGTGTCTCTCGCAGCCCTGAAGAAAGCTCTCGCCGCCGGCGGCTACGACGTGGAGAAGAAGAACTCCCGCATCAAGCTCGCCATCAAGAGCCTGGTGACTAAAGGCACCCTGCTGCAGGTCAAAGGGACCGGCGCCTCCGGCTCCTTCAAGCTCAACAAGCAGCAAACCGAGACCAAGAAGAAGCCGGCGAAGAAAGCGGCTCCTAAAGCGAAGAAGCCCGCGGCCAAGAAACCCGCTGCTGCCAAGAAGCCCAAGAGCGCAGCGGCAAAGAAGCCCGCCGCTAAGAAATCGCCCAAGAAGGCCAAGAAACCCGCTGCAGCCGCTAAGAAGGCGACGAAGAGCCCCAAGAAGGCGAAGAAGCCCGCGGCGCCTAAGAAAGCAGCCAAGAGCCCCAAAAAGGCCAAGACTGCAAAACCCAAGGCGGCAAAGCCTAAAGCTGCCAAGCCGAAAAGAGCAGCTCCCAAGAAGAAGTAAAGACACTGTTTTATTCCACAACGGCTCTTTTCAGAGCCACCCACTAACTCTAAAGAAAGAGCAAGACGCTTTTGCCTTAATTGCTCCTCTCATAAAACATGCCAATAATCAAACTGTTTTCGTAGTGATTAAGTGTATTATGGATTTGAAGAGCTTTAATCTGACATTGCTTTGATTCAAAATCTGTGCAACTCAAGTTTATACCTGCGCTTTATTTATTACAAACCTCTATTTTTGCTTCTTATGTGTAAGAGCATTCCTGAAGAACAAGTATTAATATAGCGCTTGAGTGTCCAGCGACAGTATTACATGTGCACCTCGGTCCTAACACACATCTTTCAAATGAGCAAAATGTTGCTTTTTATTTATTTTTATTTTTCTGTCCTCACATCAGTATATTTAAGGTCTGGCGACTGTGAATTTTATATCGCAAATATTTAAAAAAATTCTTATATCGCTTCTGCTTTTGAAGTTATGAATATCTGTGTCTAACTGAAGCAGTCATAAAGTGGGCGTGGCTTCGGCGGTCAGTGTTGGAGGGAAGTTCAGTGATTGGTTTGAAATCTTACAGACTCTAAACCAATGGGCGACTGGTACGCTCGTTTAAATACAGTAGAGCGGGACTCACGGATTTATTTCTGCGATTTTAACGTAAGAATTTATACAACCAAGAATGAGTGGAAGAGGCAAAACCGGCGGCAAGGCGAGAGCGAAGGCCAAGAGTCGCTCCTCCAGAGCAGGGCTGCAGTTCCCCGTCGGTCGTGTTCACAGACATCTCCGCAAAGGTAACTACGCTCAGCGCGTCGGTGCCGGAGCTCCCGTCTATCTGGCGGCTGTGCTCGAGTACCTGACCGCTGAGATCCTGGAGCTGGCTGGAAACGCCGCCAGAGACAACAAGAAGACCCGCATCATCCCCCGTCACCTGCAGCTGGCGGTGCGCAATGATGAGGAGCTGAACAAACTCCTGGGCCGAGTGACCATCGCTCAGGGCGGCGTGCTGCCCAACATCCAGGCCGTGCTGCTGCCCAAGAAGAGCGAGAAGCCCGCCAAAGCCAAGTAGACGCGTTCTAGTCTGTTTCTGGAACACAAAGGCTCTTTTAAGAGCCACCCATTTGATCTCTTACAGAGCACTTTTGCTTGAATCACAACGCTTTTGATAATTAAATTAAAACCAAGTAACTTAATAGTGTTTAGCACATGAACAATGAAGTTTCTCACTTCTGAACTTCACTTTAAAATAAATAAAGGTATAAATCCTAATAAAACATGTTTACTAGCAGTGCGAGATCTCCGAAAAAGACCATTTATTAAGATGTTAATTTAAGGGTAGGCAGATTTAATTAGCTTGTAAACAGACGGAAATTATATATATATATATATATATGTATATATATATATATAGTTCTAATCCGAGCTCGACATACTCTTTGGAAATTATGTGAACAAAGAAATATCCCAAAAAGAGTATAAAGAGGAGTAATATGTATGTAATGAGTGATTTACTCGCAAAAGATGTAAACAGTACAAAGCATCTTGAGCGGGAGACACAGTTCCTCCGTCTGTTTGAAAACTAGAGCCGCAGTCATTGGCTAGCAGTCGTGTGCAGACGTCACACATCAGCCAATCACAAGCTTCTGAACCCTCGTGACGCCATCCTGAGACGCTTTAAAAGCTGGGGCAAGTTCAAGCTCAAAGCGGTGTGCTCTGTTTTACTACGGTTTCCGGGTTGAACACATGTTTCCTGGAAATGGAGTGCAACGGGGTTAGAGATGCGTGTTCTCTTGTTTGGTGGGCGTGTCAAACATGTCAGCCAATCAGCAGCAGCATGTATATAAACCATGCGGTATTAAAGAGACAGTTGCACAATGTAATTAACATCCAAATAAATTCACAAGAGCAAGTATATTGTTTGCACATGCCTATTTACATTAAAGGCAAAATAACTAAAATAATAAGAGCACAAGTATAGCTCTGGAACTTCTTTAAGTCTGTCTAAATATCATTTAGTAATTGCAATGTCTTCTATTGTGAGCTAAATACTGATTAATGTAACATAAAAATACTATACATATTTATATATTTTGCTATTGTATTGTGGAGTGACACTTTCATAAACTTTTCTATACTCCTCTGATTATATAATGGTAAATATTACAATAACACAGCACAACAACAGTGATCAGCAATAATGATAAGCCTAATACTCACACTAAAAATAATAAGGTCATATAGATCCTAACACAGTCTCGGAGGTAAGAAGTGGATTATCCTTCACCTGAAATACGAGGCAAATGTTGGATCACAATAATTAGGAACCACAGTTTCCACAAACCCCTTCACTCGATCGGGATGTTCTCCTTTATTCTGGAGGGCAAGGGCAGTGACTGTAACATCGAACGTATTTTGCAGTATTAAACACGTATTTATACAGATTTCATCAGGCTCCGCAAATTCTCAGCTGCCATAGCTGCAACTCTTGCGTCATCAGAACAGTGTGTTCAACACACCACCGTTTCCGTTTAAAAAATGGGTTTCTTTAGGAAGCTGAACAACGTTATCCTTCCCTTACAACCAAAAACACACTTCTTTGGATTGGAGACGTTCTTCCCGAGCGAGTCCCGTGCAGCGCTGGCGCCGGATGAAGCGTGGTGATGGGCGTGATCTCGCTCTTGCTCTGGTCGATGCGTGTGCGCGCGCGCTCCTCTGGGAGAAATGCCCATATAAGGAGTTTCACCCTCGTCTACGTCATGAAGAGCCATGATCGAAAAAAACTCTCCGAACTTTTACGAACCCGGAAGTAAGATTTGTGGCACATAAATACTCTGTCATACGTCCACATTTTTTTTTTTTTTTATTTTTCCCTGCTTCGCCAGGAAAACCCATACGAGGCAAATGTTGGATCACAATAATTAGGAACCACAGTTTCCACAAACCCCTTCACTCGATCGGGATGTTCTCCTTTATTCTGGAGGGCAAGGGCAGTGACTGTAACATCGAACGTATTTTGCAGTATTAAACACGTATTTATACAGATTTCATCAGGCTCCGCAAATTCTCAGCTGCCATAGCTGCAACTCTTGCGTCATCAGAACAGTGTGTTCAACACACCACCGTTTCCGTTTAAAAAATGGGTTTCTTTAGGAAGCTGAACAACGTTATCCTTCCCTTACAACCAAAAACACACTTCTTTGGATTGGAGACGTTCTTCCCGAGCGAGTCCCGTGCAGCGCTGGCGCCGGACGAAGCGTGGTGATGGTCGTGATCTCGCTCTTGCTCTGGTCGATGCGTGTGCGCGCGCGCTCCTCTGGGAGAAATGCCCATATAAGGAGTTTCACCCTCGTCTACGTCATGAAGAGCCATGATCGAAAAAAACTCTCCGAACTTTTACGAACCCGGAAGTAAGATTTGTGGCACATAAATACTCTGTCATACGTCCACATTTTTTTTTTTTTTTACTTTGTCCATGCTCAGCATGAGAATCCAACTCTTTAACAGTGTAAACAACTCTGAATGTATGACATGGCAGCGGCGGCAGCAACAATACTACAGCGAGACTAAAAGTTACGCCTTCTTTCTTTGCGTGAACATTTGGGTGCATTATGCTAATATTTCCACATAGTGAGGTAGATATGTTATACGTGTTAGAACGAGCTGTTTTAGGGGGGCGTGGCAGAGTCTTAACTTTGATAAAGAATATCTCTTTGGTTTCGAGACTTTAGTCTTTGCAACTTCAGGGATCTTATCTATGCACAATCAGCTTGTAACACTCCAAAGAGAAAGGAAAACTTGAAATCGCATCATATGACCCCTTTAAAGATTTCACTTGTTTGGCTCATTTAAGGGATTAAATCCATAGGATTCAATGGGCCCCTCTAGTGGCTGTAATCATAAAATGCAATTTTATGTAATTTTGTTCCCCACCAGATGGCATCAGAGACACTCAGTGACCTAAAGGTCCTGATGGATCGTCATGTTTAAAGTATAAATATGCAGAAATTGTGTCTTTCTTTGTTTTTTTTGTTTTTTGGTGAAAAAATGTATAAAGATATGCTCATTTTCATAAAAATATCCATAATTTAATGTGAATAAAATAAAAATCACCAAAAATGGACCAATATAAGCTTTCTGGGCCAAAAATAAAATTTGTGTCATTTTTGGCCTTCGGGTCATTTTGACCCGCGAGGGACAGTTTTGTTATAGGTTCGGGAGGGACGGATGAGGGTTAGGCCTTATAGGTATGATATACCCTTTGGCTCATAACATCCACTGGAGTGGACAGATGTATTTTCTGTCACAGAAAACACATTTACATGAGAAACATTGTTTAAACCTGAATACAAGTATTTCTGACATCCTTTTTAGCTGAAAAATATGTATTGCACCTGTCTGGTTTTCTGTGAATAAAACGATTTAACACTTATTCCTAAGGTATTTGGTGCAGCTCCTCTTCCCTCCGCCTTCCTGAATTTATGATACAATATCTCACAACAAAACAAATAGTTAGAAAGACAATAATTAAATGGAATCTTAGACATGGCTTTGGGGGTTCACCACTTGGTGTTTGGGACACGGTACTACAACCTAAATCAGTGGTTCTCAACCTTTTTCTCCCCCGGGCCGCACTATGGTCCAAGTGCAAGTCTCGCGGGCCGCACGCGTATCATTTATTACGTCAGCAATACAAACCAACCTGATTTATAATATTATAGCCTAAATATTATGAATGAGCCTAATACATTAATTGTTAAAAAAAATAACACCCAATTTTGTGAACTTCGGCTCGAAAGGAGTAACAGCACAATCACAGGCGGAGTTTCACTTTTCTGTGTGGGGGGGCACCCACAGACGAGCCACGAGCACTTTGTTATATGTTCTACATTTCATGTATTTATGTAACACATATTCTACATTAAAAAAATAATTTAGAATGAACAATAACTGCTGTACAAAGAGTAAAAAAAAGAAAGAAAAAAAAAACATACCTAATGCAGAAAAGCCGCCTCTTTTTCCGAATCGCGCAGATGACCACTATCTTTCTTTCTTCTCTTCTGATCAATTTTCAGTCAAATCGTCTTCTGTGTGCTAGATCAGAGCTAGAGCCCTGCATTTCAGCCCGGGCCCGATGGGCCCCGACTTTTTTAGGCCCCCAGGGCCGGGCTTTGGGACAATTTTCACGTCATAGTTCAGAGAGGGCCTGTCGAGGCAGGGCCTCGGGCCTGTTTTAGGCTTCTCCTTATTTTTATATTTTAGACATCCATCAATAAGTGATGAAATAAGATTGCCGCGCTGGTGGAAACAATGAGACCATTTTCCCAGTGGGCTGACGCACTTAAGGGGCTGACTAAATGTTTAGTTTTTTTGCCAAGGACCATCAGCGAGCAGCCAGTGACCCATTGGTTTGTCTCCTGTATAGTCAGCGTAAACCATCCAATCACAATGCTCAATGCACAAAGTTCCGTATCAGTTACAAAATATTATTACTTGCCTATAAGGCCCTTAATGGGTTAGCTCCTGCGTACCTAGAAAGAAAAAAAAAACATACCTAATGCAGAAAAGCCGCCTCTTTTTCCGAATCGCGCAGATGACCACTATCTTTCTTTCTTATCTTCTGATCAATTTTCAGTCAAATCGTCTTCTGTGTGCTAGATCAGAGCTAGAGCCCTGCATTTCAGCCCGGGCCCGATGGGCCCCGACTTTTTTAGGCCCCCAGGGCCGGGCTTTGGGACAATTTTCACGTCATAGTTCAGAGAGGGCCTGTCGAGGCAGGGCCTCGGGCCTGTTTTAGGCTTCTCCTTATTTTTATATTTTAGACATCCATCAATAAGTGATGAAATAAGATTGCCGCGCTGGTGGAAACAATGAGACCATTTTCCCAGTGGGCTGACGCACTTAAGGGGCTGACTAAATGTTTAGTTTTTTTGCCAAGGACCATCAGCGAGCAGCCAGTGACCCATTGGTTTGTCTCCTGTATAGTCAGCGTAAACCATCCAATCACAATGCTCAATGCACAAAGTTCCGTATCAGTTACAAAATATTATTACTTGCCTATAAGGCCCTTAATGGGTTAGCTCCTGCGTACCTAACTAGTCTTCTACCACGCTACAATCCATCACGCTCCCTAAGGTCGCAAAATTCTGGACTTTTGGTAGTACCTAGGATAGCAAAGTCCACTAAAGGAGGTAGAGCTTTTTCATATTTGGCTCCCAAACTCTGGAATAGCCTTCCTGATAACGTTCGGGGTTCAGACACACTCTCTCTGTTTAAATCTAGATTAAAGACACATCTCTTTGGCAAAGCATTCAAATAATGCATCTCATAATCTTGTACTGCAGTTATATCTGATCAAATGCACATTATTATTCGTTAGTTAAACAAATCATTTTTGCTTGGTTGGAACAGCAGCTAAGCTAATTATGT